TCTAATTAAACCATGGACATCTACACTGGCAAACTGTGAAGACTAAACATGGCACAATCCTGGCCCATAACAGCAAATACAGATCAAGAGTCAGCATGGACATGGGGCCATTCACAACAGGCACGTTAGATTTGGTGACTCCATGGTGAGCAAAACCATGGAGTAGTTGAACTTGGCCCATCTTGCACCATCTGCCCTCAATACCAGAGACCAGTCCTGGGCAAGTTTACTTTACTGATAACAGGCTGAACCTGCATTTTTATTTTTAATCTAGTCAATTGTACAGTATCTTCATCCTTTGTAGACAGGATGGACAATTCAGTCGGTGCAAAGCTTCCTTTACTGCTGCCAGTCTTGCTCAGCTCTCCACACTCCACTAAATTGTATGCTACCCAAGCCTTTCTTGTAAATCTATTCCCTACCTCTCCTTTCCCTCCTTTACTGATTAGATTTCCCTTAACAACCTCCTGATTTTGCAATCTTTGGAAGACTTTTCAGTCTATGGTCAGACAGATACGCAATGTGCCATCAAGCATGGCGCTTACACATACAAACTGAAAGGGTCGCGTAGCTTTGTTCAGAATCACAAAGGACGGCAAACACTCTAGGCCAAAGGATACCAATGATTAAGTCAATACTGAACCACGTAAGTACAATTGGTATCTTAGAGAGAAGACTTACTGTGTTTTCCAGAGTGTTCAGATTGCTGGCCTAAAAGAAAACTATCAAGGAGCAGTCACAGAGCAAGTGTGGGGAAATAGTGGGAAATTTCCTTTAAAATAACAAAAAACATGAAAATAGGCATATCAAGAGGTAAAAGATTTGTGTACTCTGTGTGCAAAACCAGACAAAGTATTTCTCATAAAACACGTAGATATTTTCTTCTCTTAAAGTGACTGGGTGTGACAGACATCCCTGGAATTATATGGGCCCATAAAACTATTTAATTACTTGACATACTTGCTTACAGTTGCAACAAGACCTGTATTTGTGAGTCCATCCTACGCCTGGCAATTAGTACTATTCTATTATTTACAGTAACAGCTGCATGATGTATCATGAAAGATCCTGGCTGCAACGCACTGTACAAAGTCTTAGCAAAGCACTTCCACCTCTAGACATCTCACAACTGAAACTAAGAGGAAAAATACAACAAATCAGTATAAAGAAATAACTAGTGGAAAAGCAGGCAAAATTGTTAGCAGCAAGAGTGAGATATTGGTATTGTGTTCCTTTGAAAACCTGCTCCTATGGAAATTACTAATAAAACTGTTTTGACCTGAATTCTGCCTGTGGAATGGGGCAGGCAGTTAACTAGGGAGAGGTTTCTCTGCCTTTTATGTCCCTGAGAGTGCTCCTCCAGTAAGGTCCTCAGAGTTGCTCCTGTTGCATCCACATGGCATCATGGAAACCCACCGTTAAGAATAAGCATTGGTCCTCATTGCTCAGGCAAACAGAAAGGTGCGACAATTCCCTTTCTTTCCTTAGCTGAAGAGTCACGTCTCATCACTGTGAAACATGTTCAGCTTTCTAGCTAGCAGGCAGCTTATTTTGAACTGGCCCAACTCCTTGGTAAGACAGCCTAACTCTTCTATGTCTTCTCCTCTCAAAAATTCAGAGCTTCCACATGTAGGATTTTACTTCCTTCAGAGAAGTGCACTGTAGCCATATAGCTTTTGTTTCTTAAAAAGTTCTTATCTTGGATCTGCCTTACCATCTGGTTTGACCTCAGAAATAATCAAACTCTGTACTTATCCATAGAGATATGCTCAGTAAGAGCACAGTATTGACCTAAGAAGCCTAATGAGCCTCAAAACTTGACTCAAAGAACATGGCTACACCCTAAAGTCACCTAGAGGGTTTGTAGCACGGAAGTCACCCCTTCCTGTCCAAGACACTTTATCACCAAATACAGAAAAATACAGTGCATGCTTTCAGTTTTATCGTGGTTGCTTTATGCCATTCCAGGATAGCACTGACAAGGAGAAACTCTCACCTCAGCAACATTGAGAACACCTTGTGGCTACAGGTCTAAGTCACCCATACCTTGCTTCTCACCAGAGAAGAGGTTCAGGGCGAACGGCTTCAGGCTGTTCCTGTGGTATCTTATGCTGACACCAGCACACAGAACGTAGTTTTGGTATGACGCTCCTCCAGACCTAACAGACAAGAGCACCATCCCCTCAAAAGCAGCAAATAGCAGCCTCTGTTATTCCTTCCAACTTGTGACCAACCTGGTGGCACCTCACAACTTGGTCCTTCTTACTTTAGCTTCAGCAGCAGAACATTTTAACTAGCTTTACTCGGATCATAGGCGTGCTGAGCCTCTTAGGTCTTCCGCTTTCTGCCAGCTACTCAAACTCAGCAAGGATCTTCTCTTGCTGCGACGTATGTTGTGTTACGTAGCAATAATTAGTCAGAATAGGATGTATACACTCCATGGAGACCTGGACTGAACTGAGAGGATGTAAAGTATCAACACTTGATGCATGAAACTCACTCTCTGATGCTCCCCCTCCTGCATACCACTACTGTTTAGTGAGACTTGAACATTTGTGAAAACCACAGCCAAAAACTAGATCAGCTCTTCTAAATTCATCAATAATGAAAAAGACGTATTCAGTTGCCCTGCAGGTTATCCCACAGAAGGATTATTCAAGTGAGCTCCTTCGTAAGCAGAAAATCCCTACAGCAAGGCCTTTCATGTGATTCAGTTGTGCACCCAACTTAAATGAGAATTTACTCTTGCATAACATTAAATACAGTCAGCTGCATAAGCAGGCTCTTTCTCACCACGTCTTACCCTACGTCAGTATCCATTTGGTGATCTTGAGTAAGCGATGATAAATCTTGCTTCTGAGCAGTAAGTAGGTAAGCCGGTTTTGGTCACAGAAAAAATAGCTAGGTGGAAGAGTTAGTGAGCTTACTAGTACTGTGAGCATTAGCGTGGAGGTGAACTTACACAGACTCTGGTAACAGACAGCTGATCTTTTCCTTGCTAAAAGCTGGAGCTAGCAGCTAAGGAAAGGAAGAACAAAGCACAAAATGAGAACAACAAATTCAAAATATTAAGAGCACCCTATTGGAGAGATCAGAACTTTGGTATGTGCTTTCAAGTTCTGGCGTTTCTCTGTTCATTGGTATTTCATATGCAGCACAAACAGAAAAACGGTTTTACAAGTTCAAGTAGCTGCTCTGGCGTTCTGAAGGCAGGGGCTGCTTCCTCAGCCAGTTTCATCAGAAGTAATCAACCAGGCAGGGAAAGCAAGCTTTCAACTTCCAACACTTCACCTTTAGGCAAGGACTCAGTCTGCAAGCATGAGGGTGGATTTAAAGAGAAGCATCTCTCCTGGTCACTAACTGCCTCTCCTCACGTTTCTAAGTGCTCTGGAAAGAAACTTCTGGACCAGTGTACTGGGTGAAGGTGGCAAGGTGTTGGCAGTGGGGTGCTGCAGGGTGGTCTCTGTGTGAAGAGGTCACGACTGCTCCACGCCAGACACAACTGCTTCCAGCCAGCTCCAATGGACCCACCACAGGGCACTGCTGAACACCTCAGCCAAGACGGTGGGACCTCTGAGAAAGCGTATTTAAGAAAGGGCAAAACACCACATAGGTGTAGGGGGGGAAGGGGGCACTGAGAGACAGCAGTACAAACACCAAGGTCAGTGAAGAAGGAGAGGGAAGAGGTGCTCTCTGGCGTTCTGAAGGCAGGGGCTGCTTCCTCAGCCAGTTTCATCAGAAGTAATCAACCAGGCAGGGAAAGCAAGCTTTCAACTTCCAACACTTCACCTTTAGGCAAGGACTCAGTCTGCAAGCATGAGGGTGGATTTAAAGAGAAGCATCTCTCCTGGTCACTAACTGCCTCTCCTCACGTTTCTAAGTGCTCTGGAAAGAAACTTCTGGACCAGTGTACTGGGTGAAGGTGGCAAGGTGTTGGCAGTGGGGTGCTGCAGGGTGGTCTCTGTGTGAAGAGGTCACGACTGCTCCACGCCAGACACAACTGCTTCCAGCCAGCTCCAATGGACCCACCACAGGGCACTGCTGAACACCTCAGCCAAGACGGTGGGACCTCTGAGAAAGCGTATTTAAGAAAGGGCAAAACACCACATAGGTGTAGGGGGGGAAGGGGGCACTGAGAGACAGCAGTACAAACACCAAGGTCAGTGAAGAAGGAGAGGGAAGAGGTGCTCCAGGCACCAGAGCAGAGATTCCCCTGCACAGCCCTTGGAAAGGGCCCCACTAGAGCACGTGGATATTTCCTGAAGGCACTATCCCATGCAGAAGCAGGTTTATCCTGAAGGACTGCATCCCATAGGAAGGGCCCACACTGGAGCAGGGGAACAGCGTGAGGAGGAAGGAGCAGCAGAGAGGAGCAGTTATGGACTGCCGCAACACCCATTCCCCATTCCCCCTGCACCACTTCGGGCAGGGCAGAAGAGTTTGGAATGAAGAAGTGAAGTTGAACCTGGGAGAAAGGGTGAGTGAGGTAGGGGGAAGTTGTTGTTTTAGTCTTTGTTTCTCACCACCCTACTCAATTTCTAATTGGCAATAAATTTAATTTTCCCCAATTCGAGTCTGTTTTGCCCATGACAGTAATTGGTAAGTGATCTCCCTGTCTTTATCTTGACCTACGAGTTCTTCCATCTTATTTTCTCCCCCTGTCCTGTTGAGAAGGGGGAGTAAGAGAGCAGCTGGGTGGGCATCTAGCAGCAGGCCAAGATCAACCCACCACAACTTGTTGCATACATCTGTTTAAAAGAAACTTAAAATCCACTGGTTCACATTAAACATTTGCCAGAACAGAATTTCAGATGAGCATCTGTCTAAAGCTTGCAGATAAGCTTTTGCTATTGTAGAGTTTTCAAAAGAATGATTTCATACTTCACCACTTTTTGCTATTTCCAAAATCTGACACAGGTAATCATTTCCAACATTCCTTTACTACTTATACATCATTTGCAGAATTACAGAGAAGAATAAATTCTTATATGGAAAAATATAATATTAAAAATCTTACATACAAGGACGAAACATAGCAACAAAAGGCTGCTCACAGAATTAACATTCAGTCTTTCTGTCACCAGTGAAGATGAAACTCCTTTAGGGTGATGATTTTCAATGATGATATTAAAGTTTTTTTCTCTTTTTTTTTTTTTAAACCCCCCATAAAGGAGACACACATTAAAAATAGTAATGTCTAAAACAACATTATTTAATTCTTAGTCAGGCACCTGAAGATGTGGCTTTGAGGAACTTCTGAAATCAGCAGCCATCAGAGGAATCCAGTTTCATGGACGCCCCAGTGATTTCTGAAAACGTCCTCCGAGCTGCAATCCGCAAACATTTGGGGCAGTCTCCAGACTTGAAGCATGCTTTGTGAAAGCATGTTTTGCACTCTGTTTATACATTCAAGCAGTTTAACATTCAGGAAAAAAAAAAAAAAAAAAAAACACACACACAACACACACACACAAATTAAAAGATTAATCAATAGCTGTGTTCCTTGAAGGATGTTCTATCTAGTTCACCCAAGTATAAAAGTAAACAGAAGCAGTGCAAGGCCATGACAACCACCGCCATTGCAATAGCTATGACTAAACATTTTGGCAAGATTCACAGGATTTACAATGAATGCTGGCAAGATCTGATAGAGCAGCAGTACAGCACTGTCTCAGGCTCTCTCTCATGCATAGACCCAAAAAATAGCCTCCCCCTGCAGCCATAATTATGTTCAGGCATAATTCCTGGTTTTGATCTCCGAATTCACTGAGGCAAGACAGCTGCCACAGGTTGGTTTTCAAAGATACATGCTATCCATGGTTTTCAAATACACATGCAGGTTTTCAAAGACAGATGCTTTCAGTGAACCAAGTTGTCAATGCTCTCCTAAAATAAGTCTGAACAGTTTTACACACCAACATCCCCCCAAGGAAGAAAGAAAAAAATGTTTGGTCTGGAACATACCTGTGCACCTTTTGCATTTGGCAATCTGATATGGAAAGAGCAGATCTGCACTGTGACAGAATTCACAGATAAACCCCTTCGCTTGACACAGCTACAAGGACAGCAAAAGAGTTGATTTAGTTTTAATCTAAGAAAAAAATTATTTTGGAACGTAAGCAGGGATATTCCTCACACTAGGAGCTGCAGGGACACTAACAGCCCTGGTTTTTCCTTACCTCACAACCATCCACATGGGAGGTAGAGCTCTTCAGAATATCTTTAAGAAGGGGCAATAACTGCCCTCGTTTGATCTTCACCAGATCATCCAGTGAGAAGAGATGCAGCTCCTCTGTCAGATGGCTGGGGACCTGTTCGAATTCTTTCAATACACTGCAAAGAGAAAGAGAAACCAAATCAAGTTACAAAAAGCTGTTTTTCAAGCATATTTGAAGAATAAGCCCCTCTCACTTCTCTAGTCACCCAGGGATCATACAAGGCAAGTTCATGCTAAATCCTACCTCCCCTCCCACTTTGAGATCATGCTAACAAAGACTAGAGGCTTTGGGATTTAGAATAAAATGTGTGCTTTGAATGTGCATTCCTCAGGCATTGGAGTTGCCATGCGTAGTTATCCCAGCAATTCTTAAATAATGTGTAAAGGGCTCTCTCCTACCTCAGAAACAGTAGATAAAATCCCAGATAGTACCTAAAGCAATAAGCTAGGGTTATTTGCTTTTGGGTTTTTTTTGCCTTTTTTTTTTGCTTTGTTGGCATGTTGGGTTTTTTTGTGTGTGTGTTTTGGTGTTGTAGGTTTGTTGCCCCCACCCCCCACCCCGAGAACTTTGAGGGTTTTTATCCTGCACAGGTTACTATTGGGTGAAACTATGCTTGTACTGAGCAGGTGAACACTGAAAACATAGCTATTACTTTTAAAATATCACTGATGTAGAAGGTATAGTTAGGATCCTAATCATGCTTATTTCTATAACGGAATCACAAGTTGCTGTCCAGAAGAGATATATTAAAATAAGCTTCTATTTATTTTTGGTGAACAATACATAACTGATACATAGAAAAGGTCCATGTCAAAGAGAGAACAGAACCTACTTTTAAAGCTTATTTTGCTTATCTCCATTTTTAAACATGTCAGCAATTCTGCAGTAAAGGTTTTATCATTCACATGTCAACCTATTAGTTAAGTCTATAGTTTGGGAAGGTGGATACCAAAAAATCTTTAATTTGCAGCAACAAGCAAGGTCATGTTTTGGTATTTACCACTTTTGGTTACTATTTTCATCTGAATATGTTTATAAAATAAACCAAATTGAACATTGTAACGGATTTCTGGAAGAAATCTTTAAACCTTCAAGGAACATATTGTTAATTTAAAAAAAAGAAATTTAAGGACAAATCATCTCAGAGATATACGTAAGTATCTTTGACCTTTTAAGAACGAGTGAGAACTTAAGAGAGACAGAGTAGGAAAAGATATATACCTAACAAAAGTCATTCAACATTTAAAACCAAATGTCTAAGTATGTTACAAGAAACGGAAAGCTACCACATAAAACCCGTTCTTCATTCAACATTTGCAGAGCAATAGAAGGAAGCTTTGTTATCAGAATTTTCTCTAATGATCATATTAACTCATTTAAAACTGCACTCAAATGTCTCTACAGAAGAAGGCTCTATAAGCACCTTAGGTACATTTTAATAAGCTATTTTTCATGCACAACCATGGCCCATACCTTTCACCAAACCTGCAGGTTTTCAAAAGTTTTTTTAAATGAAAAAGCTGTTCTTGTATCTCCTAAAAGATAAAGGGGAAAAACAATTTTTAAATGAAAAGCAATTGTGTTTATACATTCATAAGTGAGGAACACCACTATTTGAGTCAGCAACCCTTGTCAGTACATCAAGCCACACCTAAAAATAGGAACTTCCCACTCAGCAGAGAATTAAACAAATGGATCTGCAAATGCACGGAAGGCCAAGGAAGGCAAAGGCTACTTTTATTCAACTGACAAGGGAAGCAATTTCTAATGCTACAAATAGCTTCATGTCAGCAAACCAAGATGCTAGACCCAGACCTGTGTAAGAACAAGTGTCTCCTGAGCCACAAAGGGAGCACATGGCAACTTGTAATCTTCAGCAGAGCAGCCTTCCTTAAGCTGTAGGAGGTACAGCCCTTAGATGAGCCAAGGGTGCTCTCCCCCTAATGGCCCACAAAATTAAGGAGTCCTTCAAAACCTCCAGACCTTTCCAACAGCCAGTTGCCAAGCAAAGGTAAATATTTCCTGCAGGAGCCCAGCTCCCCTCCGTGAACTAAAACTGGAAACCAATAAGGAAACGCCTCCCAAAGACAAGGGGGGAAATGATACCTCTGGCATATGTTGGAAACTTCTCCCTCCTCTCCCTTCATCTGAGGAGAGAGAGTGCAAGTCCCAGAAACAGTGATGGAACAAGTCTAAGTGCAGAGAAACCAACTCTGCCTCCTTCTCACATACACACACAGCAAAGGACAACCTGCCCTAAGAACTTCTTCACAAAAGTCTCAGACCCACAAATATCCAATTAAAAAAGGCCACACTTACCCTCACCCTGTCCATTTCTTTACTTTTTGTGTAGAGGGCTTTGTTAATACACGACACATTGAAAATTGGGTTCTGCCATATGCTATCCAGTAGGCGTTTGGAGAAGTTGCATACGTAATATTTTTTGAAGTCCCACTTCAAAAGTATTCGGGCAGGAATGGAAGACTGGGCATAGTTGTGGCAGCAGTCGCAAAAGTATTTCCCCAGGTAGTCACAATAGCGGAGTCTCCTGATATATTCTGCAGGTAGATAGCAATGAAATTGTGAATATTTCCAATACTTATGGGACATATCTCTTGTCTCTATGCCTATTCTGTCTAAGTATCTCAGACGAACTGGAGTGAGGGGCAATGGATTTTTTTTTTTAAGCAGGAAATTTTATTATTGTGGTAACACATGCACAAGGTCTGTACTTTGCATTAGATGAGAAAGTTTTCCTCATTTCCACATTTCTCAAACTGAACTGATTACATTTATCACCATGAGCTCTTGGAGAAACCATTGTTGCTTTACCCACAAAACACTAGACACAAGGTAAAACATATAAAGTATTTCCACCAAATGGAAAGATAAGCTGATCTTGGAGTCACATTTGTAGAACACTTTTTCATATATATAAAGAAGTTTGTGGGTTTTTCTCAGCTATCTCAGCATCTCAGGTTTGCTCAAGCTAAAGTGCCATCACAGATTGTTGATACTTTACAGGCCATCCCAAATGATGATCTTTTGTGAGTAGATTCAGAATAAGTCTTGAGAGTCACTTCAAAGACTCCTTTGGTAAGGTCAGGTTGTTAGACCTGTAAATCATCATGCTTTCAAGAAGTTCTCAAAACATCACAAATAAAAAACAAGCAGGATTTTGTGATCAAGATCTAAAGAAAAAAAGTTTTAAAAAAGACACCCCAAAAGAGGAAAACCACACATTCCATAAGCTTCCGCAAAGCTTCCATAATGTCTCTAAAAAGAGACTTTTGGAAACGTGTAAATTGGCACAGAGAAAGAATTATTGAAAGAAACCATTGGAAGATGTAAAACCAGTACATTCCAGCCTGGAAGCTTGATTTTTTTAATAGCTTTTCCTGTTGTTGACTGTCATCAATTTTTACTGTGTATCTATCAAGTATTGTATTCTGTCCGCAATGAGAAATTCCAGGCAGTGGTAAGATCCCACTGCCTGTTCTATTATTGCAGGCACATCCAACAATGAGATTTTCCTTCTAGCTCAGGTAATCTTACAATTGTGGTACATCTGTGTTGGTGAAGATTATGGTCTGATTGCTAGTAATGGATTTACTAGGTTTTTTCCCCTTTTGGTAATACTTACTGCTTTCTATTGGGGTTCCACATCCAACACACGTGAAGTTTTGGGCAGCCACCACTGCATCTCTCCTGCATACAGAGGCAAATAGTTATACCTTTCAGCATCCAAAACACAGTTTAGCTAACATTCTCCCGAAGTGCAAGAGAGCTACATTGGCACCAGTGAAAGTGTCCAAATTAGGAGCTGACTCCTACTCCCCCACATGAAGGTAGTTCTGGAAGGAGATGCAGATTATTATTTTAGTGGGACTCTCTAGGCTATTCTGTGGAGATTATATCATCAATTACATCTTCTAAATATGGCTTGTTGCAAGAATTAAAATTCTTTTCCATTTCTTAAGGTGACATCAATATCAAGGGGGAGGAGAGAGGAGGAAATCCACATCTGCAACTGAAAAAGCAGCTGGACCTGCAGCACAGAGAATTAGCCAGTTTGCCTACTATGTGCATTTAACAACACTTTAGGCGCAGAGTGAGACAGTAGTTTCCCCAAACACAACCTGCTTTTTCCCCCCTTTCTGAAAACCTATGACCCATAAAATATCAGCAGAGAAGTGGGGAAACTCTTAAGAATATTCTCCAGGTAGTCTCAAAAAAATGATGATTTTTTTTTTTTAGCAGTCCAGCCAAGCACGCTGCTACCATAACACCAAACAGTACATGTATTATCACATGTGAAAGTGCACATGCCACGTTAATCAGGATGTGCCAAGAGAGGGGAAAAAGATGCCACCTGCTTTATAGGGAAGCTGGTGACAGACACTGGAGAAGGCTGTGCCATGCACCAGCTCTAACCTTAAGTTCTGTTAAATCACCCAGGCTCCTCCCATCAACTTCAGCAGCTTTTAGACAAATTCCCATACTGTACAAAATGACAATGCTCAGACCCCTTATACTTACTTGACTGAAGGGTGAATATTAAATATAATCTGTGATCTTGGTGGGGTCCAGCCAGAAGATCCTCTCAATTTGGATATGATCTTTATTTCTTCAGCCAGATTCAAACTGGACTCAAGCTCTCTTGGAATCTCTTCTTTCAGCACATACTATTGGGGAAAGACAAACTCGTGAAGATAAACAGCCCATCATCTGGACATATGTTAAATGCTACAAAAGATCTTCCTTTATACTCCAGCATTTTAAAGTTCAGTTTTCACCTGCATGTAGTCCCCCCTCAATTAAACTCCTTCGTATCAGTCCCAGAACAAAGTACATCCTGATTGTTCACAAGTGCACATCTTAAATACGCTGAAAATTGCTAGAGAGAATAAATGTTCTAAAAATTTATCTAAAGTGAATTAATAAACTGTAAGTACTCATTTTTTTATTTTTTTTTTTAAAATGCAGCTTCCCCCTTTCCCTAACAGGGAAGCAGCTGCAGTTAGACAATGATTATTTGGGGAACCGAATAAAGAGCCCGCTGTTTTCGGCTCAGACTCACTCTCTGCTTAGATGAGCTCAGGGAACCAGACAGTTGAACTGCAGAGTCTGTCTGCAACCAGTGTTTTCTGAAAGCTCTGCACAACTCCTGGGCTGTTGCTTCAGCAGAATTGTTGCCCAGTTCAAAAGATGATCTGGAAGTTAAGCAATATAGACAGTGAAAAATAGCAGCGTGTCATCAGCAGCTCTGCTGCCTCTTCTGCATCCCTGAAAAGTTTTCTCCCATCCCTTCATTCCTGTCCCCTTGCTTTGATACACCCAGGCCCTCACAGAGCCACAGGCATCACCCTCCAGCAAGACTCCGGGACCAGAGAAACACTCTGCTAAGCCAAGCGCCACAGACATTTGCTGTCAAGCAGCATTCCTTCCCCTTCCTTGGGAAGACCTTACCACTCCCACACCTTTCCCCACCCTGGCTAGAAGAGTCACCAGAAAGCTGGTTCGGTAGTGCCACCAGGCTATTACAGTAAAGATACACAGCAATACCTTTCATCTGGGGTGACAGACAGATTTTCAAGGTCTTCAAGTTCTGCAGTAAAGGAGAAAATTTTATGAAGCCATCTAAGAAACAAAGCTTCTGTTACTCTGCACTGTTTTAAATCTAATTTCTCTGCTACCACAGTGTCAGTTTCAAATATATTCATCTTTATAACACCCTTGCTGGATGCGGGAAATAACCTCAGCCCTGGTTGTAAAAAAGGGCATAAGGAGTCTTATCTCCTCTGCAGATCTGACATCTGCTGATGAAGAGTACTCCCCAACAGCCATGCATGTCAACACCATCAGCCTCCCTTCAAGAGCAGGAGAATCAGTAAGGAGAGATTAAGTGCCTGCTAGTCCAGGTCCAGCCAAAAGGCACTAGACATAAATAATAATATACAGAACCAAAGGAGTGCACATTAATTTTTTTGGACACTGACAGATATTTGGAGACATCGATCACAACTGTGCCAGCTAATGCTATAAACCAGTCAGCAACAGGTCAAACGAACAGAACTAAAGCACCCACTTCTTCATTATGTTTATGTAGACAAAATATGCTTACGCAGACAAGGTGTTCTCATTGGTAGCATATAGTTTTGCCCATGCATATTGTACTCAAGACAAATGCTTCCCCTTTCATACATGTCAAAATAACTCTTGCTACTAGAAATGTAGTTTTGGGAGCTAGTCCTTCATTCTTAGGTT